CATGTTCGATGCTGTTCAATGTAGGGCAGATCAATGACTCTTCCCTAACCGACAGCCTCGGTACCCTTTCAGCCGACGAGACGTCGGCGAGCTAGCTCTCTTCTACCGCTATGTCAACGAGCTTTGCTCCTCAAACCTACCAAACAATCCCGCCTGAGTTCGACCGTGTCTATCTGTACATCCATGATAGTACGACCGCTCATTTGTCCCTAGAGTATCGAGATTGTGGAAGAATCTACCTGAGGCCTTTTTTAGTTCCTCTAACCTTAGGTAGTTCAAAAATCGGATTAAAAAAGTTTCTTCAGACTCCTAATAGTAGCGTCGGGCCCTTTAGAGTTCTACCTATGCCGCTGCTTCAATACAAAACACCAGTTCATAGATTACCAGCATTCCCAGTATATTATCACAATGAAAATGCATAATTCTCAAACTTCACGTTCTCATAATATTTTCTAATAGCTGTATTGATTCTTACTCACACCATTTTGATGTTAGCCGACGGTGAATGAAAATGGTTACTTCTGAGGAAAAGTACTTTCGTGAATCACGGTATCAGTATCGGAATAAATTAGCGAATATCTAGTAGAAAATTGTTTTTCCTCACCTAGGGTCAACACCATGTAAGCTATCGAGGCGCAATGCTCAACAAATCGCGGGATTCAGATGCCTGTGACCTGGAACTCGGAGTTCCAGAACCTTCTTCTCTGAAGAAAACTATATTAGATACATACCTACCGGATATCTAGCTACCCTAAATAATGGACAAAGTCTTGGGTAAAAGTGACCTTTTTCAAGTTAGAGCTTTCCTAAAGAAGCTATTAAACGTTATCGACTGTCCCAAAAAAAAAGTACTTTTTGCTCAACGTCCAGGACATTGTCAATTACTAGCAGCATCCTCAATATTTCACACCCTTGAATGAGCATTCGTATCTATAATCTTGATTGTCAGTATTTATAGAACTTTGTCCACATTACAGAAAATGTATTACTCTGAAAATGCACTGTCTCATGATACCCTTGGCCTTTTTTTAACAACTGTATCGATTTCTACGATATTTTCATACGTTTGCCAAATGTGACTAAGAACAGATGCAGGGATCTTTCTACTGAGCAGAAATACCTACTTAGATTCTTTATATACCTTTACCTAGATTTTAATAATCACGGTATCAGTATCAGAAGATGTTAGCAAGTATATGTGCAAGGTCAAAGCCAAACTACCCAATTAAGGCACAAATCTACCTATCTCTCCCTCCTTGATTAGCGGATGCAGGGTTCAACTGACCGAGGTGGCAGTACCGTCGCTCTCCATGTCTAGAAACCATCCCCGGGTACTCACAGTACTGGCACAGCACTCACACGATAGCGCGAACTGAAAGCCAGGTGTACTGGAAATTAGAGTTCGGGGTTCCAGAACCTACTTGCCTGGATTATTGGTCCATGTATGTTTCAGAGAAAACCATGGCAGAAATTGAACTACATTCGATATCTATGGGATATCCAGTTACTCTATATTACGGACAAAGCCTTGGGTTTAAAGTGACCTTTTTCAAGTTAGAGCTTTCCTAAAGAGCGTACTAAACGTTATCGAATATTCCAAATAGAAAAAAATAGTACTTTTTGCTCAAGGTACAGGACAGCAGCATCCTCAATATTACACATCCTTAAATGAGTATTCGCATCTGGAATCTAGATTAGCAGAATTTACAGAACCTTGCCCGCATTATAGGAAATGTATTACTCTGAAATTGCACCTTCTCATGTGACTAACAACGGATGCAGGAATCTTTCTACTGAGCAGAAATACCTACTTAGATTTTTGCTATACCTTTACCCAGTATTTAATGTACACATCTCATGGTATCAGTATCAGAACTATTAGCATGTATCTATTAGTGAAATGTCCTTTTTAGTGCAAGGTCAAAGCCAAACTACCCCATTAAGGCACATGACGGAACAGAATCCAGGTGAACGTCTAGATATCTACCTCTCTCTCCCTCCTTCATAAGCGGCTGCAGAATTCAACTGACCGAGGTAGCACTACCATCGCTCTCCGTGTCTAGAAACGATCCCCGGGTACTCACAGTACTGTCACAGACGATAGAGCGAGCTGGAAGCCAGCTGTACTGGGACCTAGAGTACGGGGTTCCAGAACCTACTTCTCTGGATTATTGGTCCAATGTTCCAGAGACAACCACGGCTATAAGTATCTAGGGGACATCTAGGTTATTCTATATAGTGAACAACACTCCAGCCCTTGTCCAAAACTGAACCGTTTCTAGTTAGAGCCTTCCTAAAACAGACTGTTGAGAACTATTTAAAGTTACAATAAAAAAAGTCCTTTTTGCCCAAGGCAAAATAGGGCATTTCAAGCATTAGCAGCATCCCAATAATTCAGATCCTCAAATGCGTATCTGAATTTAGAATATAGATTATCTGTATTTCCATTATTTTGTCCAGGTTCATATATTTGCTAACTGTAACTGAAAATTATTGCTGAAGTCTTTATACTCTTACTCTTACTTGGATTCCTGCTACATCTACACATGTATACTATTCTCATGTATCTCAGTGTCAGTACCGGAATATATTAGTGTGTATCTATTAGAAAATGTCTTTTCAAATATGACAGGCCAGCCTTGTCTATCGAGGAACAAGGATCAGCTGGACCGCGCTGAAGATCAAGTATCTATCTCTCTCTCTCTCTCCTTCACAAGTGGCTGCAGGAATGTCTGACCGAGGCGGTACAACGGTAGCTCTCCATATTCAGGTACTATTATTGGGTACTCACAGTACGCTCACAGCACCTACACGATAAAGCGAGCCTCCTCACCTGCACTAGGACCTGAAACTCGGGGTACCATAACCTATTTATCTGGATTATTAGTCCAAGTATGTTTCAGGGACAACTACAGCGGTATGAAACTATTTGAGATATCTACAATATATCTAGTTGCTCTATATTGAGGTCAGTGCTCCGATCCTTCGGTAAAGGTGACTATTTAGAACTTTCCTTAAGCTATTAAAAATTATCGAAAGCTTCAATCACAACAAAGTCATTTTGCTCAACGTCCAAAACATTGTCAATTATCAGCGACATCACTAATCTCTACATCCTTAAATAAGTATTTGCATCTAGAACATAGATTGTCAGTATTTTGTCCAGATTACAGAAAATGTATTATTAACTACACTTTCACATGAGATATTATGTTATCCCTGACCTTTAAACAGCTGCATCGATTATCACATTTTCACATGTTCACCAACTCTAGAAGTCTTTCCAGTTAGAAAAATTACTTAGATTCTTGCTACATTTATACCTGCATACTATTTTCAGTGCCAGTATCTGAATATATCAAAAAATTGTCTTTTCAAATATAAGGTCAAAGTCAGCCTTCAACCATCGAGGCACAAGGCCCAGCAGAATCGCGGTGAAGATCAAGTATATACCTCTCTCTCCCTCCGTCACAAGCGGCTGCAGGATTCAGCTGACCGAGGCGGCACTAGCGTAGCTCTCCATTTCCAGGTACTATCCTTGGATACTCACAATACGCTCACAGCACTCACACGATGGAGCGAGCCTCCGCACCTGCACTGGGACCTGGGGCTCGGAGTTCCAGAGCCTCCTCTCTGGATTCGCGCCCGACACGACTGACGCACAGGGTCAGAGCGTGGAGAGGCCTGCCGCCGCGCCGGCTGCGGGACTTTCCCCACGTTGCCACGTCTAACAACCCTTACTAGGGCAGATCACCCTATCTCTCGGATATGTTTCTATTTCTAACCACACAGGGGAAATTTTTCGGGGTCGATTTAATATGTATCGTGTTGACAGAACATGTCATCGTCGGCAATGAAAGGTATTAAAGAGTATTGTCAGGAAAATTGAAGAGCCAATTCGTTAAAATATGAAAATAGTTCATATAAGCATATATCCGTGTTTCAACTATTACGACTGTAATAGTTGATCTTAGGTTCTTCGAAAACAGACTGAGATATTAAGTATATTTAGTGTATGGTAGAATTGCCATGGCATGCACAAAGTGTTTTCTAGACTTCTACTAAAACCAATGGCGTTCATGCCAGCAAGCCTCTATATTTGCATAATAACAATACGCCATTAGTTATGCAAACAAACTAAAATATCAGTATTTCAAAGCCAGATTGATTCTGCTCAAAAACTGCCTCTTGATGTTCTACGAGTTGACACTTATTTTGAAAGAATCACTGACGTACAGTTTTTCGCAGAACATAAACCACTGCATCATGAAAATGAAGCATTTTCCACGTCCATGATCAAATGAACATTTTTACTTCATATGCCAGCTAGCGAGGAAGTAGGTATTACAATCACGAAAAATTTCCAAAATGATATTCTTTTTAAGGCAAATTTGCGCGCACGAATGTTGTGCGCGCACACATATGTGCGCGAATTATTTAGACTGTGAAAACGTGCGCGTAAATTGTGTGCGATAATTTCTGTTCCGTCTAGAGTAGCCGCTTATTTAGTTTCCGATCAGCTCCGTTTTTATAGCGTTTCAAAATGTCCAACAACAAACAAATTAAAATAGCAAGTGCAGCCTACATAGTGATGCATTCTTGTAAACGGAAGAACAAACGGGATAAGCGATGGTGGGTTACGCAGTTGTATAAAAGCAGAGACATGTATAGTGGATCAACATTGTTAGCGGATTTGAAATTCCAAGAAATCAGCGGGCAGTTTCAAAATTTTGTCCGTATGTCTTCACAGCATTTTGAGCTACTAATTAATATGATCGGACCCAAAATAAGGAAACTGAATACGAGACTGAGAATGGCCGTTCCCGTTAAGGAGCGACTTGCCATAACTCTACGCTTTTTAGCGACGGGAGATTCATATACAAGTATGCAGTATCTTTTCAAAGTTTCAGAACAGCTTATATCTTCCATTGTTCCTGAAACATGCCGGGCCCTTATTGAAGTTCTGAAGGATTATGTAAAGGTAATTAGATAATTTGTTACACATACTTAAATATTTATTTATTAAACTTAGAATGCTACAGCTTGAAATGCGTATATATAAACCAAAATGTAATTATGTCGTACAATGTTGAATGCGTCACGTCAAAGTGAGTCTGAATAAGCCAACTCTACATTTACCATTTCCGTTGAGATGGGGTTAGGGGTTGAGCAGTGGGATTGTGAGGAAGAATAAGTTGTGTAAGGAGTTAGACAGGGAGAACGTGATGGGGTAGAATGTGGTGTAGAATTAGGAGGATACATTGTTGGAAGAGGTGTTGTAAGTTGTTGTGGCATAGTATGAGGAACAAACTGCACTGGTGGAGCAACCCACTCGTATTTGCCAATATCAGCATCATATAGAATTCTACTGAAAGCATGTTCAACTTCGACTCGAGTCCTTCTATTGTAACCTATCAGTTTCTTTGCTATATGTTGTCCATATACTGCAAATTCATCTTCTGTGACGACTGGTTGAGGTGCGGCCACTTTTTTCAAAATTGATAAGCTTCCTCCAATCTTGGATCTTCATTTTTACTTTTTGCTTTGACCTTTTTCGGTTTTGGAGACATTTCATTCACATCCTGTTCATTTTCGGATTGCAGGTCAATTTGACGTCTTTTGTTTCCTTCACTTGCATCTAAATTAGAATTTTGGGGAGAACTATCAAACGGTCCGAGATCTTTTGCCCCAGAATTCTGTACGTCATCAATAACCTGAAAAAATTAAAAATTATAAAAAGTTATTCATTTGAATGTTAAATCTAAAACTATATGAATTTTTCAGATGCCGTCAACTCCTGAAGAATGGTTATTAGTTTCAGAACAATATCAAGAGTTGTGGAACTTTCCAAATTGCTTGGGCGCCATAGATGGAAAGCATGTAGCGCGACAAACTCCAATAAACAGCGGCAGCGAATACTATAACTATAAATCACACTGTAGTATTGTATTACTCGCTTTAGTTGACGCAAATTACAATTTTATATTTGCTGATGCAGGCTGTCAGGGTCGAATTTCTGATGGAGGCGTGTTTAAACACAGTACACTATATAAAAGATTACAGAGCAATGACTTGAAGATTCCTACAGCAAGAAGTCTACCAGGAAGGAATCAGGAGGTGGAGTATGTATTTCTCGGACATGAAGCATTTCCGTTGAGTAAGCATATTATAAAGCCATTCTCAGGAACCCATCGGAAAGGATCACTGGAAAGAATATTCAATTATCGTCTTAGCCGAGCCAAAGAATTGTAGAAATGTCTTTGGAATTTCTTCTTCCGTATTTCGAATATTACGAAAGCCTATACTTTTAGAGCCCGAAAGGCAGAACTTGTCGTAATGACTATTGTTTTGCTTCACAACTTTTTAAGAAGAATAGACACTCTCGGACGTTGTATAATCCCACGGGAACCTTCGATACTGATATAGATGGCCAATTTGTACCAGGCAATTGGAGAGAAACACCAAATGAAAACATGTCATCGCTAATCCCTATTAGATGTTTGCCCCGAAAATCACCTAAAGAAGCACAAGGCATTCGAAACGAGTTTGCTGCATACTTTACTAGCAATGGTCGTGTATGTTGGCAAGACCATTATGCATAAATTCTAGTTATGTAAAGGATGAGTCATTAGTGTGTCATCATGGCGGGTCTTAATACAAATGTTACCTATTTCATAATCTTCTTTGAAATGCAACCCCATATATTTTATAGCATTGTTGATTGCCGTTTTTAATGCACTTTGAACTTGTTCTCCGGCTTATTTCTTACGAATTATACACCGAGGACACAGTAGTGACTCACCCTGTACAAAAATCCTATATAAATAATAAAATACTTACGCATTCTGTCTCTGTATCAATTGTTCTCTTGGTTCATCTTTGTCAAGTAAGTAATGCATTCTTTTAAATGCATACCATTTCGATACATACACATCTTGCCGACCTTCAAAATGCATTTTATAAATACCTTCAAAAGAATCAGGATATTTACTAACCTTTGCCTGTCCCAATACTTTTGTTCCTTTTGCATTTTCTCTACGAAATGACCCTAGAAGACTATTCATTTTCTGTTTCGCTTCATGCTCTTCCACTTTTAAGTTATACGCAATACGTTCCCACGCATCTGCTTTTTTGTTTCTTGAATAGTGCTCTGGATGTTTGGCATTCCATAAAATCGGATATTTTTCATATTCATCTATTAATTGGAGCGCCTTTTCATTTGCCCACTCCATATTTTATACTGTGCGCGAACAACCGTTCCTACAAAAACACCGTCCACACTGAGCACACGTTTCCTTTGATGTACCGACAAGCGACGGAAAGTATTCGTGCGGGAACGCGCTTACGCACACAACATTTTTGGGTGGTACGAACGCTGTGCGCGCAAATTTGCTCAAGTCAGTACGCGCCTTAAGGTATTAAAAGACATGTACATTACGAAAACTCACTTCCGTCGGTCTGTTTGTCCATCTGTCTGCTCATTGTTATATTGTAGTATCTTGATGTGAGAAGTGACTTGTGAGACTAGACAACACCCTGTATATGCATAGTTGCATCCCGTCCAACTTATTAGTTGGACTTGCTTTTAGAGTACGTTTGGTGATTCGTAAATTGGTTTATTGAATACGAAGTAACTTTTCAAAGAATAGATAGTTCATAGATGAAAACGAAAAAATAACAGATGCTTTTGGCAATGCCGCTTTTCGAATCGGAGTAAGTTACTTGCAGTAATGGGTGCAGGACAGTACCGAGGGTCAGGGGATGAAGCTCGAAGCTGACGCGAGCGAGGAGAAACGTCTTCCACAAAGCTGAGTACCGGTCGAGTTATTTGCTTTCGGTTGTTTCAGCTACTGGTAGTGATATAAAAGTTTTGTTCAGGATTTTGAAAGGTTCCTTTATTTTTAAAATTGACGGGCACTTCCCAAAAATTGATGCACCGCAAAAAATGATAGTTATGCAGCTTAGACAAATTTTTTTACAGGAAAAACCTTTTATAGCCACTCTCAGACAGAAATGCTTGACAGTATTGCCATGTCAACATTTTAGCTCAACATATTAGATTCTCCCTATACCTCCACCAAGGTAATACTTTCAGCATTTCGCAATGGTGTACATCGTTGCGCTAAGATTTTATACCGAAGGTATTTGGTCATCTTATTTTTGAGCCGTGCATATAACATACATCTGTATTTATTTGCATGCACAGCCTGGTAAGTAGTAGCCTATTGTTGGTCCTTGGTCTATTTTTGTCCTCTCGTGCCTTGGTCAGCATGATTTGACTCACTGTTGGTTGAATCGCACTTGCCCTCGCCTACATTCCTGGAAAATCTGTCAGCTGTGAGCTTTTCGCCGGGCGTTAATTCCAGCTGCCTCAACCACATTCAAGTAGACGATTGGGGAGTATCCTCTCTTTCGGTGCCATATGATTATATAGTATGCATAGATCCGCTTTCCTACCCTCTTCAGTTGCCAAAGCAATCATATCATGTGAAAGACTGTAGTAATCTATCTGCACCACTCCCGTGTCAACCCAAGCTTTATTAACTGGGATCCATCTTTTGGTCAATGCACCATGGCCAGCTGCGCCCCATCTCTTCTGCCATTTGACGAAAGGAGTCTCACTTTCGTCGCTTCTTGCTTGGGCGCCCTCTTTATAGAGGGCGCATCTAACCTCAGCCAGCAAAGCAAATGGAAGGATACCAGCCACCACCAGCAGTGCGTCAGTGATATTTTTTTGCGATTGAAGCTGCGTAGGTTAGTGTCCTTACACTATATTTAGAAGTTATGTTTTTCTTAATATATAAAGGCTTACAATACAAAGTCAAAAATTGAAACTATATTATGTCACTACATTTTTAATATACTAAGTGACATATAAATCCGAACACCCAGTTTAAATGGTTTTATTTTAATAAAAGTTGGTGAATGTATATATCTTACTGTAATAACAAGTGAAAAAATTTTCAGCCTTATCAGTTGGACATTCCGGTTTTTATACTGCTTTTTTTAATTCACTAACGCTCTAAAAATGAATATTTCAGCCGCAGTAAAGAATCAACGTTGGCGGATTTTGGTTCTTGACATCCTTTACGATTGGTTACGATGCCTAGAGTACGGAAGACCTGTACGATTTCGTCAACTTAGTGAGCTTGATAGGGGCCGTATAGTGGGACTTCGGGAAGCTGGACTTTCTTTTCGGGCAATTGCAGTTAGAGTGCAAAGAAGTGTAGACACTGTGGTTAGGTGTTGTCAGGCATGGCTTCGAGAAGGCCGTACGCAAAGAGCAAGGGGCACTGGACGCCGCCGTAGAACAACAGACCGTGAAGATCGCCGCCTAAGATTATTGGCCTTAAGTGACCGTTTCTCCACTACCAGGTCCATTGCAAATGAATGGTTTGCAGAACACGGAAGACCTATTGGCATGCGAAATGTTTACCGACGAATGAGAAGTTTTGGCTTGTTTTCATACCGGCCATACTGGGTCCTCCCTTTACTTCGAGAACACCGACGTAATCGCCTTGAGTGGTGCAGACAACGGTCACTCTGGGATCAGGAATGGAACAGTATTGTCTTTAGTGACGAGCCTCGATTTTGTTTAGGCATGCACGATGGTCGTGCCAGGGTTAGAAGGCGACTTGGTGAAAGGAGGAATCCACAGTTTTTTGTTGAAAGACATGTTCATCACACTGTTGGAGTTATGGTTTGGGGTGCTATAGCTTATGGTTCCAGGTCACCTTTAATCTTCATCAGAGGTAACATGAACGTTATATCCACGAAGTTCTAGAACCCCATCTTTTACCCTATGTTGACACCCTGGCAGATCCAACTTTCCAACAAGATAATGCCCGACCACATGTTGCAAGAGTCACAATAGACTTCTTTCAACATAATGATGTCACATTGTTACCATGGCCACCAAGATCTCCCGACTTATCCCCAATTGAGCACGTGTGGGATATGATGGGTAGGAGATTGCTCAATTTGCAACGTCCTCCTCAGACTCTAGAACCACTTCGAGAGGAGTTGGTGGTTGCCTGGAATGAGATACCACAGGAGGACATTGACCACCTGATCAGAAGCATGCCTAGGCGCGTTGGAGAATGCGTAGCACATCAGGGTGCATCCGCACATTATTAAAGGTCAAAGTGCAATCATTTTGAAATTTTTACCATTTACTTATTATGCTTCATTAAGTACTTATACAAAATTTTATTAAAATAAAACCATTTAAACTGGGTGTTCGGATTTATATGTCACTTAGTATAATTTATTTTCGAAGTCGTTTTTAGTGTTTCATTTCACGAAAGAATCACGATTATAAGACATTGAAAGGGCATACGAGCATGCCTGACAACCTAAAGGTTTTTACGGTACGCAACGCGAGGCCCATGCTTCTTTAACGTCTAAAAATTTCATACGATAGGAAAATTTGGCCATTATTGAATTTAAGCCCTATAAGTTTCTGAGTGCATTTGGGAAAAGGTAAAATTTCGGAAGGACGAAACCCAAATTATCCTTACGTATGAGTAGGTTTAACTTTTGAAGATACGCGGGAAACTAGTGATCCGCCTTACTTTTCGACCCTTAACTGCATTTTGCTTATTTTAATCTGTGCTTTTTGTTGTTTTTTGAGTCTTCATAGAATAAATAAAAGAGCAAATAAAAATGCAATAAGGCTGAGACCACTATGTGCTGTTCTAGCTGCTTCATTCGT